AATAAATAAATAAAATCTTAAAAAAAATTTCTCTTTAGAGATTTTCCCCATATTTTATATATATTTAAAGGAATACTTCATAAACCATTCACTCTTTGGCTGACAATTTAGAAACCTTTTGGAACATTTAGGTTCTGGGACTCTCCACCCCCACCCCAGCCCCAATCCCCCCAACACATGCACATAATTGTGTATACACATATGCACACAGTTGTACCTGTGTTCACAGATGATGCGACAGTGATGTTGTAAGTGCCTATGTCTAGTTTAAAGAATAAATTTGGACTCTGCCAGGCCCTTAAGAAGTTGGTTGCCCTGGGGCCATGCTAGTTACCATTTAGTAAAGAGCTGGTCATTGAGACTCTGGCTCCTGGAGCCTCAGTGGTCTTAAGACTGGTCAGTGGGGCAGCCTGATTTCTTAGATCCGTGCCAGACTCTTCTAGATTCTCTCTGACCCCCTAGCCCCACCCCTTTGCCTACCTCAGCATATCACCCACCTTGAGCTATCCCCAGTGGCCCTTCCTTCATCACCTTCCCCTACCCCCAGGCCTCAATGGATGAAGGGCACTGAGAGAATCTGTGGTGATTCAGAGCCTGGGGTCTTCTTTAATGGAATCTGTCACTAATGAATGTTGCAGTGGAAAGAACTTGGACTTTGGGGCCAGCCAGACCTCAGTCCAAATGTAAACTCTACCACTTGCTAGCTTGGTGACCTTGGATGAGTTAATTAAATTCTCTGACCCTCACTCATCTCATTACGAAAACGGGGACATGAATTATACCTCACAGAAATATTTTGTGACACATGCACACAAAGCCTGTGGCCCATGCTCAGTGACTGTCTGTCCCCTTCGGCCCTATCCCATGTGTGCAGACAAAGGGGTCCTGTCTGTGAGTCTGACTCCAGCTGCCATGTTTTCTTGGTAGGAATGGGCATTTGTATGTGGCAGGTTGGCATCCTCCCACCTCGCAGACACAGCCTTACCTGTCTCTTCAGAACCCGGCTGGGCTGCTTGGGGACCTCCGAGAATGTTCTCTGTAGCTTGTGCTCCCGTTCCAGGTGCAACGCTTCCTTCAGGAGCAGCATATTTGTGTGTTTCTGCACCTCAGCCATACTGAGCTCTGCCACCTGTTGCTCAAGCTGCCAGATGTCCCTGTCCATGCCCTCAGCCAGAGGGAGGGGCTGGGGTGGTGCACACACTTCCAGGTGTGTGACGGTCAGGTTGACTTCCTGGTCCTGGCCCAGGACATACTGGTAGAGTTTGTAGTGGCGGATAAAAGTGTTGTGGAAGTAGTCACAGAGGGCCAGCAGATGAGTGGTGTTGAACTGTCCCTGGTAATCTCTGAGTTTGTTCCCCAGGATTGTCACAGCCTCAGTGATGGAGCAGCCTACAGGCACAGAGGGGTCAGGCATTGAGTGTGAACTGAGGTAAAGCTGAATTGATAGCTGATCTATATAGGTTCTGAACCCAGGTCCTATGAACCCAGAGCCCACATCCTACCAGCTATTCTATATTACCATTTATTAACTCTTAAAAGCTATGCAGTGTATCACATTTCCCCTTTTGCCTTGGCTTCTAGGAAGCTCAGCACCAATTTTGTGTAGTAACTTATATTTACCTCACTTTTATAGGATTATCCCCCTCTTTACCTATACTTTTACTTTTAACTCTCATTTTAAAGGTTTACTTCAGCTGTGCTTTATATTGTTTCCACTTCAAACCCTTTGGAAAGGAGATGAGGGTGTAAAAAAGGGACTCTGGTAAGAGTGGATCATGAGATGACTAGAGAGACAGATGTCTAGGCAACTGTTATTCTGGAGATATGTGTCACAGAGTTAGGCAAATATTGTTTCTACCATGCAAAGATCCACTCTGGAGTTACACCTTGGGCAATGCTGTCCTGAGCAAACCATCTTCTCCCATCCCCTCCCATTCACTCCTTTTGCTCACAACTCCATCAAAAGCTCAGGGTAACGTTGTGGTTAAGGAGGCAGGACTCTTCCTAACATATGATTGTGTCTTAACAGAGCGGGTGGCTCAGTAAAGGGTCATGGCTAAACGATGTGTATGCTCTGGTGAACAGACATAATGCAGAGAGAGAAGCAAGATGAGGGATAGAGAAAGAACATGCACCAATGTAAGGATACCTGGGTCCTCACACAGACGCCATCTCTGAAGTGCACTGTAAACTCAGTCAAGTGTCTCTTGCTCCCTGACTCAGTGTCTACATCTGCAGAATGGGAGCTTTGGCCAGCTGACCACCAAGTCACATGCTTTTGGGAATTCCACAGTGCATCTAATGAAGATAGAGACGAAGCGTTGGATGTAGGGAGCCTGGCTTTCCTCCTGGAGTGGAGGCCCAATCTGTGTGTAGATCCCTCTCCTTGTCTCTCCTGTATGAGCCCCCCATGGAGCCCTAGAAGAGTCTTCCACCTTTCTGGCCAGAGGGCTCCATGCTCCTTTAGGAGAGGCAGTCTCAGTCTTGCCCACATGGTTGTTTATAAAGTCCTCCACCCCCCACCCCCATTGTATGTTCATTTTGGCTCCTCACTCTTAGCTCTGTGTGGGAATATTTACCTTAAATCTCCCCAGAGTACTGAGATGGTAGGGCATCACAGTCTTAGAAAAATAGTGGTAGATGGAGCACTACTCCACTTTGAACCTCATTAGAATGTGCTGGGAATTGTCACTTGGATGTAGACTTCAGTCTCCTGTGGAAGGGATGAAGAGAGGCCTCTCCACTGTGCAGAACTAAAGGTTGGCAGGCTGTGTTTTGCCCTTCTTTCAAGGCAAATCAGCAGGCTCAAAGGCCCAAGAGAGTGCTTCTGTTTCAGAGTGGTGTAGAGGGAGGGTTTGGAGGCCTGAGACAGCTCTGTCCCTTTCTAGCTGTGACACTTGGGCCTTCATTCCCACAGATGTAAAATGGGGGATAATTATATTTAGTTGATAGGACTGTTATGAGGATAAAATGGGATGATATGTCTAAGTGCCCTGCACAGAGCCTGTTACAAGGTAGTAATTAATGAATGCTGTAGGAAAAGAAGAGTTTGTTTCTGCCCTGTGAGAAAAGTTTCTTCTAGCCACATCTATATTTCCTTCCTTCCATCTCTCCATCTATTCATCCACCCACCCATCTATCCACCCATCCCTCTATCCATCCATCCATCCATCCATCCATCCACTGATCCACCCATCTATCCACCTACCCACCTACCCATCCATCCAAGATTAATTTGTCAATTTTTACTGAGTGCCTAGGCACTCAGTAGTGCCTTAATTACTAGGCACTATGCTAGGTCTGGCAATACTAGATAAATAAGACACATCCCTTGCCTTCATAGTGCTCACAGGAGAGACACATAAGTAAATGTTACATGTGTAAAAAGAAACAGAATCAGGTGAAGAGGAATGTTCAGTTGAGGACAGGGATTCTCCGCTGAGAAGATAATCCATGAGCTACATCTCAGAGGCCTAGTGGGACTGAGCCAGTAAAGATAGTGAGGGAGGCACTTCTTGGGTACAGCTTGAATGAGAGCATTGGGGCAAGAAGCTGCATGGCATGGGTGGAGAACAAGACCGGGTTTGTTGTTGTTGGCACTGAAAGATGGAGGCAGAATATGGTAAGCATTGAATGGAGAAGTAGGTGGAAAACAGATGGGAGGGCCTTGGAGGTTGCATTCAGAATCCGGGGATTGGCACTGTAGGCAGTGCAGGGTCTGATCAGTGTTGGAGCCCCTCTAGTTGAGCCCCTCTAGTTTATAGGGAGGATTGGTGGGGGTAGAGTGGTCCGGGAGGTGTCAGTGAGAAGCTGGCACCCTGGGAGTGAGGAGTACGTCCACAGCCAGGAAGGGCATCCTAGACCAAGGCCTGGCACAAGGGTATACAGGGTATGGTGGAAAAATAGGGGAAGGCCAGCATGTCAGGCAGGAGCAGCGGGAGAGGGGGAAAAAGGAGGACCATGATCTGACTCGTGTTGTGGAAGGGGCATTGTTTTAACAACACCACCCTTAGGCTGAAACCAAATTCCTCCCATGGGGGCTTAGGAGGCCCAGCACGGCCAGGCTGCTACCCACCTCCCAACCTCATCTAGAATCCAACTTCACCTCTCACCCCAATCTTCCCTATAAACTAGTTGTTTACTGTATGAAGCAAAAGTTGAAAGTTAAGTTTACTGAAAACAATTTTAAAAAATTATTTTTGTAAATTTTTTTGTCAAAGAAATGGCAGCTTTGCATGACACTTTAAGATTTGATTGCATTGCTATTATCATTATGTATCTATATAAATTGCTTCTTTGAACATGTAATTTGATAGTTACAATTTACATAAGTAAATAAATTACATTAAAAATTACTTAGAAGGTACAGTTGTAATGTTAAGTTAGATGTTGATAGCTTTTTATTTTTAAAATTTTTTAAAAAGATTATTTATTATTTGAGAGAGAGAGAAAGAGAGCATGAGTGGGGAGGGGTAGGGAGGGGCAGAGGGCGAGGGAGAGAGAAAATCCCCAAGCAAACTCTCCGCTGAGTGTGGAGCCCAAAATGGGGCTAAATCCCAACCAAAATCAAGAGTCAGATACTTAACCAACTGAGCCACCCAGGTGCCCCCATTAATACCTTTAAAATTTTCAATTTAAAAATTTTAGTCATCTTTAAAAAAATTTTTTTTAAATTTTTTTAAATTTAAATTCAATTAGCCAAGGTATAAGTACATCATTAGTTTTTTTATATAATGTTCAATGATTCATTAGTTTACTGAATTAAATACAAAGAATAAGCTTTATGTATGTATAAGGCAGATGTACATACAATATGTAATCAGAATATTTATGATAAAATTTGGAAGAGGTGGGTCATTAGGGAAAAATGTCTAAAATGCCTCCTCAGTATGATCCAGCAATTCCACTTCAGAGTATACACCCAAAGGAAATGAAATCGGGATCCTGAAGAGCTATCTGTACTCCCATGTTCATGGCAGCATTATTCACAGTAGCCAAGACACCGAAGTGTCTGTCGATGGATGAATGGTTAAAGATATTGTGAGATATATAGATATAGATATAGAATATATATAGAATTCTATTCCATATCTATAATATATATAATATCTCTCTATATAGAGTATGTATAGAGAGTATCTTCCTGTATACATAGAATATTACTCAGTCTTAAAAAAGAAGGAAATCCTGTCGTTCCCAACAACATTATGTAATTGAAATAAGCAAGACACAGAAAGACAAATGCTGCATCATCCCACTTACATGTGAAATCTAAAAAAGTGGAACTCACAGAAGCAGAGAGTAGAATGATGGTTGCCAAGGGCTGGGGGGAGGAGAAGTGGGGAGATGTTGTTCAAGGAGTATGAAGTTCCAGTTACGCAGGATGAATAAGTTCTGGAGATCGACTGTACAGGATGATGCCAAGAGCTAGTAGCACTGTTTTGCATATTTGAAATTACCTAGGAGAGTAGACCTTAAATGTTCTCACTACAAATAAAAGTGGTAACTGTGTGAAATAACTAATTAGCCTGATTGTGGTAATCATTTCACAATGTGTATGTATATCAAAACATTACATTGTACACTTTAAATATTTTTCACTATTTTTATTTGTCAATTATACCTCAATAAGGCTGGGGGTATTTCCCATAGAAAGTATTCAGAAAATAAAGTGGCTTCTAGGGGAACGGATAATGGAAAGAAAGGAGATGTGGCTTTAGCATGCTGCAGTGTGCAATACCCTTTTCCCCCATGTCCTGCTTTGATTCTCAGAGCTTCTCACCTGTGTCACAGAGACCCAGCGGGCACAGGAGCAGTGGCCCACGTGTTCCTTGGCCCATCTCTCATGCTGGGAACTATCTGGCCAGGCAGTTGATCCTGGGGACCCCTTCATTCCTGAACTTGTGTCCCAGGTCAACAGTCGGGAGGGGCCCAGGGCCAGTGGGAGCCCTATGTTCCGTAATCACTTGGAGCTGTCCAAAAATACAGACCCCTCCCCACCACACACACACACACACACACACACACACACATCTCAAAAAAGGAAATGTTGACTCCAGGGTGGAGCTGGCTTGGAAATGGCTGCTCCTCAGTTATGAGCCAGATTGAGCCCAGAGAACTCAGACGCTGACACGCAGGGAGTCATGACATGCCCAACTGGTAGAAGGATGAAGCCAAAGCCCCCAGATGCTCCATTCTATTGAGTGACCTTTACACAGGGCACCTGTCTTCAGGACCTTAGTCCCCTCAGAGGTCACATGGCCACTGGGTCCCTTCCTGCACAGGTATAACCTTTGTGCTGCTCGGATTTGGTGGGCCTTTAGTTCTATTCTTTTTTTGCTTTTGGAGAGGACACAGAATATGACACAGACTATACAAGTCTGCATTGC